TGTCAGTGTTCAAGGCCAGCCTGGATGGGGCTTTGACCAACCTGGTCTAGTGGAAGGTGTCCCTGCCCATGGCAGGAGGGTTGGAACTAGATATCTTTAAGGTCCCTTCCAACCCAAATCATTCTATGGTTCTATGATTCTATGGAATGTTTGTGAAAGGATGAGCAGTGCAGTTTGAGGAAGGTGTTAATGGCTTTTGCAGGGGTTGGTGAAAGGAGAGTGGCACCAGTGAGCAGGATCCTGGTGTCCCTGTCTGACCTGAAGTGCCTGCGCTTATGGCACAGGACATATACAAGTTTTGTGTGTGTTCAAAGAATTTTGCAGATTTAGTGTGCTGCTTTAGATTCACAAAAAGGTGTGATATTAATGGTAGCAGTCCCTGTACTCTTTTTAGTGAAGACTGATGCAGTGAATTCACTAACTTGCTTGTTTTTTATTTTCCTTTAACATAAATTCTATGGATTTTACATAAATAGCCATTCAGACAATCGCAGAGATGATGAACACCAAAAATATTTAATGTACTATTGTGATATTTTCCTTCGTCATCTTTTTCACAACTATTCTGTATCAATTTTTTGGACCTATTTCTGTTGGGGTTGTTGGTAGGATTTTGTAGCTTGTTTGGGCCAGAATTGTGTTTTTTTGATAAACTCTCTGTACAGTAGTCTGTTGGTTTATTTTTTCAGTTGTAGGCTGACATTTTTCTGATATTCTCAAAGAATGTAGTTGTCTTTCTTTGGTTACCTGCTGTTCAAATTCCCACATAAATTTAATTTCATATGTTCTTTAGTATCACTTAGTTTGGCTTTGTGAGAGATGTGTTTTACCCATCAGTAAACACTTGCCACAGAAAAGGCTGAAAGTAATTTTAAAATGATGAATCTTACAAACTATCAAGTTTGAAATAATCAATGTAAATTGTCCACTTCTACCATGGTAAGATTTTCTCATGTGTCGCATACGTATTACTTGTAAACATAATTTTGTGGTTTAAACAGATCCTTTTTCAAATAGCTGAGACAAGAAACTGCCACTTAATCATTTTAAATGAAGTTGACATCCCAGTATTTGTGTAGTAGCATTGCAACAGTGCATCTTATGTCCTATCCCGCAGACCCCAAAGTGCTTCACCTGGTTTTTCATTCATTCTGACACAAGGTAATATGAATAACAAAGTATGGTGTTACCTTGCAATTATCTGTAATCTGAAGGTGATATTTAATGACATAATAATTATGGTTTTGCACTATTAACTTTGGGGGATTCTATTAGGTAAGAGTAGCATTTCCTGGAAATTTCTCGAGGTTGTTTGTGGGGATTTTTATTTTTTTTTCTTAATGGAATGAATGCTTTATAAGCAGTGGAAAAAGCAAATCAGCTGACCGAAAAGCCAGAGTAAATAAATTTGCTGATATTGTGGAACATCTTCTATTTGGAAAATACAGATCAGGAATCTACCAGAAATGAACCTGACATTGAATTACTGCCTCTCTACTTGTTATTATCTTGCCCTCACAGCTCTGTAATCCCTTTTTCCCAGATCATTTTCCTAAAAACATCATGTCAGATATATACATCTTTAGAGAGAAAAAGGTCTACGTTTAATTGCTGCAGGATTTTGTTGCAGATAACAGCTTACTGGCTCCTTGGTGGTTGCTCAGTATGTTAGAGTGATTAAATGGCATTCTCTTCAGTTCACTCCCCTGACTAGTCTTGGAAAGGAAAATGGTTACTTATTTCCATTTGCCTATTTCTTCTTCTAAGAGGTACTTGCAATAGGCACGCCGAACTGTGCTTTTGTGTGTTTTTGGAGCATAGTATTTTCCAGCACTATGGAAGTTTTAGAACATCTGCCAGTACCTTATTGCTGGTAATGTGGTGGACACCTTGTCTACCCTGAAGAGTTAAAAATTAAAGATGAGTGATATGAAAAGGACAAAACCACAAAGTTTTCATCCCCCCGTCATACAGTGACTATTAATTTTGTTGTGTAATAACTGTTTTCATTTATATTTGACCTTTTAGGTGAGTGTGTAGATCATTTTGGTGTGGGCATAAGTAAAGGTTTATGACTAGAAGAAAGGGATATGAAAAGGGAATGAATATTGGCCTTTTTCAAGGAAGATATTTCAATTCTAGGAAATGGGCTGAAAAAAAGCAGCAAGAATGCTGGTGATAAACTAGTGTGTAATAGATAAAGGCTAACGTGACTGACAAAGCAAAGCCTGTAGAGAGAAGAGGAATATTTAGTCTTCTGGCTAGATGTAAAATATTTGGTGACACTGAAGGGCAATGCGATGAATTGGCCCTGAACTGCTACTGAAAATTTGTCCAGAATTTATCTTCTTTTTATTCATGGTTTGGCAATTTTCCCATAAATATGGGAAAATTTAAAAGCAGTAGGTTGGCTGGCCAATTACTGAGCAGCACAAAGACAATGTTGTTCTGAATGCAAACCAAACAATTCAATGGGGAAAAAAGTTTCTGTTAACGTATGCAAAGATGGCTAGAAGTTATTGTAAAATTTTGTCCTCTGTTATGTTCATGACATTTGATTGACCAAATCTCCACTTACATGAACAAGTACTGCTGCACATATTTTAGTAGAAATCAAAGAGTCACACAGTGGTTGAGGTTGAAAGGGACCTCTGGAAGTCATTTGGTCCAAACCAGAGCCAGTTGCTGAGGACCATGTCCAGAAGGGCTTTTGAGTATCTCCGAGGATGGAGACTCCACAGCCTCTCTGGGCAACCCATGCCAGTCCTCAGTTGCCAGTGCATGCACTTACTCAGACCAGCATCTAATCCTCACTTTTTGTGTCAGGGTGTTCATGTTTTATAGTGGAGGATAAAATGTAGTTAGAAAAATGGATTTGGATTGGAGGATGAGAAATCAGAATACAAAAGAGATTCAGTATACTATTTTTCTTTCTCTGAGTCTTGAAATGAATGGATCTCTAATAAAGTGCTTCAAAAATGTTTCTTTCCCCATTATGATTCTATTTTTTTGCAGCAAACATAAGTAATAAATATGGCTAAAGGCTTAATTTCAGTAAATTTGTCAAATAATGTTTGTGACAGCAACAGGAGACATGTTTGCTTCAGGACCCTTTTGGGGATATAATTCAGAGACCAGGATAACAAAGGAGACATAAACAGAGGGAAAAATCAAAAGCTGAAGATGCATATAATCTGAGTAACCTGGGATGTTATGGTACGCAGTCTGCGGGCCTTGGCTGTACTGGGAGAGAGCTGGGGCTCGCTGAGACCCTGACTCCTGGTGGCATTCTCAGCCCTGGTGTGGAGGGGTGGGAAGTGTCCCAGACTCCCTGAAGGAGATGGGTGTGTGGGTTGAGACCGAAGTAACGTCTCCCCACCAGTACCCGATATGTAAACACTTGCCGTATTTTGGAGCAGTAGCTGTCAAGTCTTTGGGTAATGGCTGCAGAGCGGGATAGCCATTGGAAAAGTGTGACTGGGGCTGGGAATATAACCCACTCATGTATATACCTAGCAGGAGGAGTATATAAATGTGCCTTGGTGACAACAGCTTCCGCAGAAAGGCTGGTCAGTGTCGTTGAGTTCGGAATCTTAGTTTTGGGCTTACATACCTGACTGACACTTTTTGGGTCTGTGGTCCATTGCAGGCTGGCCTTACATCTGGGCTTGCAGTTTCAGTTCAGAGTTGTTCCTCATGGACAGGTTTTATAAAACAGAAGTCTGGGTTTGCTTTGTAATGTAATAACACTGTATTTTCTGTTTGTTTCTTCCCCATGTAGTTTAATCTCAAGACTTTGAAAATACAATACACATGGCACAGATCGTAACATTTTTTCAGACGGTGTTAATTCTGCTACTTTGTGAACATATCTCAGCTGAAGATGGGGAAATGAGAGCAAGTAAGTCTTAATTTTTATATTTCAGATAAGGGCAACTTCAAAGCATACCTTGAATTTATAGTATCCATTTTCAGGTCCACATGTACACTCCTGTTGATGGTGATTTTTTTTTCCAGTGTAATTTTCCTGGTGAAAATCCTATAATATATGATAAGTAATGTAAATATCTTATTTCTCCTTTAGGAAGGGAATGTCTTTATTTCTTTTTCTGTCTTGGAAATGCACAAGGGGACAGATGGATATGTAAAGCTCCAGTCTTGATTTCAGCTTGTGTTTTGAGTATTTACATTTTCATTTCTTCAGAAGTCATGTTTTGACTAGCTTGATGTTGTGTGAGAAACTAAGGAAGAAAAATAAAGATTCTGTGACAGGAAGCTGAGATAACCCCAGCTCTGGGACAGACCATCTTGCATATTCTTCAAAATTAGGGTCTCAAACCCCACCAAAAAGAGTTTTATATTCTAAATCTGGTTTATGGAAAAGAAAAAGATAAAACAAGGTAGCTTTTTGAACGACAAAGTGTCTGAACAAAAAGAGTGTGGAAAACTTTCCTCTGGCCACAACGATACTTTCAGGTTAGGTCTTTTTCCTCCAGTTTTGCTCTCAATCCAGCAATTTTCAGTTCCATAAAATTCCTTTTGGTCTCTAGAAAGACATATTTTTTTCAGTCTACCTGCTTTAATCTGGGCCTCCTTTC